ATCATCGTTGTTGATTAATTTAAAGATGATTTGAGAATTTTCTATCAATGAGATAATAATAATAATATTATTATTATTATTATTATTTTTAAATCTTAAATAGTAAGGATAAACAATTTCAAATTGATATCAATAAAATTGGTAATAACCTATAAATTATATTTTACTATTTTTGTTGATTGTATTGTTTAATTTATATTTATTTTATTATCATAATTAACAAGTTAAATCAAATTGTGATATTTCAAGATAAAGAAAAGGGAATGGCACAAATACAAAACTTAATGATTTGAGACATAAATAATGCCATTCCTTTTAAAAATTCAAATTTAAAGGATATTCATAGTAATTTTTGTGTTTTAAAAGTATTTTTTAAAAATTTTAAATTTTAAATTAATATTTTTTATATTTTTATATCATTTTGATATGTTAATGTGAAAAGTAGTTTTTTAAATAAAAAAATATTATTTTAAATAAAAATATTTTAAATAATAATCAATATTTATATAATTCCAAGCATCCTGATAAAGAACAAATATCAATGATGGCAAGATGGAGGTTTTACTGCCCAAGCGTTGAAGATACACCGCATCCATGTGAAAATTATGGACATTTTTTTTAGCTCTCAGTCATTTTAGTTCAATTACTACAACAACCATATGACAAAGCCACGGACCATGTCTTTCCTTGCCGACCTTTATTTCCTCGTCCCTTCTCCTTTCTTTTTAATAATGTTTTGTTTATCTTATGTCGAAGCACACACTCAAATCCTGCCGCGGCTTTATCTACTGATCAAAGAAACTAAGGCACTTCCATACGCGTAGATTGCTTTAATAATCTCTTTAACTCTAAATCTCAATCTGTGCCATTTCCTTAGCCTCCTCTACTCTAACCCTCCCTTCATTATTTTTTCTTTTTCTTTTTCTGGTTATACTTTCTCCCACTTCTCCATATAATTTTATCTGCTCCTCACAGAGCTTCTTGGGGATTTTTTTTTAACGAGTACCATTTGATTTTAGATTCTTGTTTTGGTAGTGACATTCTCTGAAACATGTAGGGTTTTATTCTTTGCCTCCCAAACAAAGGCAAATGCTAATCTCTTTGGATCTAAAGTTGTGATTTTTGGGTGCAACATGGAGCATGTTTATTTATAGTTTATCTCTTTCGTATAGAAGCGGTATCTTGCTTTCCATTTCTTTAATTTGACTTGTTTAGCTGTTTAGTCTACTTAAAAAAAATGGAGTGTTATAAAAACATAAATAAATAAAGTTTTGGTCTGTGTGTAGTTAGTTGATGGTGTTTCGTTTGCTGATAGTATAGGTTAAGAAATGGGATCTAGTAATGGGTTTTATTCTGAAGAGTTCGATTTGGATGCTAAGTGGCTTATTGATCCAAAGCTTCTATTCGTTGGGCCAAAGATTGGGGAAGGCGCTCATGCTAAAGTATATGAAGGAAAGTAAGTTAAACTTCTTGATTTTTTTTTTTCTATTTCCAAATTGCAGCTCTTGAGCTCTGATTCATTTTATAACTGGATTTTTCTCTAATTTTCTTGACTAAACCAAGTTTTTTCCATTTCTCAGCGGATCAATTGAGATAAACTATTGTTTATATTTCAATCCCATTTTAATGTCAGCAGAATGTTAAACAGATATCCTCATTGAGAAACTGCAGACTGATTTTTGTGCTGCTGTTTCTAAAATGTTCTTTCTTTTTAGTTTAGAACATCTGATAAATGGTTGATTGCTATGTTCAGTAATGTCATTCTGGAATTTATGAATTTTCTTTGATAGGTACAAAAATCAAATTGTTGCTATTAAAATTGTACATGGAGGAGAAACCCCAGAAGAGATTGCCAAGAGAGAAGCGCGGTTTGCAAGGGAGGTTGCAATGTTATATAGAGTTCAGCACAAAAATCTTGTGAAGGTTGTCTTTATAGCAATACTTTGTCATTGTATTCGATTTCAGCATTTAGGGTTGGTAGTGAATTAGTACTATTTTCTTAGTTAACAGTTGTTGAAGTGACCATATACAAAATAACAGGGTTGTTATGTGTTACCAGTTTATTGGTGCTTGCAAGGAGCCTGTCATGGTGATAGTAACTGAGCTTCTTTTGGGCGGAACATTGCGAAAATACTTGCTGAACATGCGGCCAAGGTGCCTGGACATGCGTCTGGCTGTTGGATTTGCTCTTGATATTGCTCGTGCAATGGAATGCTTGCACTCCCATGGGATAATTCATCGTGACCTAAAACCTGGTATGATAAATTTCTGGCTTATGTTCATGACTTTTGAGCATATGAATATTGAACAAGTAGTATTTTATGACAGGCATGTAAACTTGCTAACCAATTCCACATGGTTCAATGGACATTTTTCAGTCTTTGTGAGCTTCAGGGCTTGTATAGTGCATACATTTAGTGCAAGTTTTCTACTAACTTGCTGCATAAAACAGTTGGAATACTGTCTACTGTAATTCTTGTTCTCTTTTGCCATTCCATTTGAATTGTAAAGAATGCATGTTGGCATGCTTTTATAATACCAGCACACACAAAAAAAAAAAAAATAAAAAATCTTTCATATAATACTCTTCTTTTTTGTTTCAGTTTTTCTAGTGAAACTCATCCCACCTCAATATGACAAAGTTAGTTCCTTTGACTTTATAATTTCATGTATGATTATTTTGTATGAGCATCGGATCCATAATATTGTTGTGGTGATTAAACTAAGTTGGCAACACAATTAAGCTGCAATTGTTTCTTGCAATTATGCATTTTGACATTTTCTAAGCCATTGTTTGTTTGACAACAACCTGCCAAAAGTCCATTCATATACCTTACTTTCACTTGAAAGATCTCAATGAGTTTCTTTCTCAAGATAACAAAATATCTGATGCAAACCTGGAAGGCGAAACCCTAGAACCCACAATCAAGAATTGAAACACTTCTCCTAGAAAGCTAAAATCGGATTATAAAACCTCAACCTGTTGAGTTTTTGAATCAAGAACCAAAGGTATATGGTTAAAATGCCACAAAGATGATCTCTTTAATAAGTTTTGAAAGGTTTAATGAAGAACCAAAAGCAAGAGTGCTCACACAATTTTTATTCAAAAAACCAATTTGTCTATGCATCCCAAAAATAGAAGGTATTTATATGTTTGACTTAAACAAAAAACCACTTTGAACTCAACTTCATGTTTGATGCCAACTTAGAAAGAATTCTTGAAGCTTGCATGGCGCAAATGTCATGAATCAGCCCATTGAATGACTCTTTGATCCTCTTGGCCTCTCGCCCTTGTAACCAATCCAATATCTCATCAATATCTCTTGGTAAACAATCCCTTGAGTCGTATTAAATTAACCCAAGTGTCAGCTCAATTATTTGGCTTGTGCATTTGAAAGTTAATGAATTAGCACAATTTTATATGAGAATAGAAGATTCTATTCTTTTCAGGTCTATATTGATTGTGCTACATCCACTTGTTTATCTTGTGTGATGAACTGAAACTTGATGATTTTATTTTGTGATCATTTTGTTCCTTGATAAGGAATTAATCACCAAATTGCAAGATAGCAATTAGATTTGACTTATGTTGTATGCTTGTACTAAGTTTTACATCTGCTGAACAGAGATGGACATATTTGGGAAACTGGTAAAAACTTCATCTAAGCTTTGCCGATGATATTTTTACAAATATGAATGCTTGATCCACATTAGTATGCAGCCAAGAATTAAACTTCAAGAAAGGTTTACATGATGTTTGATGGAACCAGATTCAAAGCATTGAAATTGTTGTCTTGGATTCTTCTTGTTTCACCTCTTTGTTTCTGGACCTTTTTACTTGATTTCTTGAAAATATACTTCACAAAGATGTCCTTGTGCAGTGCTGAAATGAATTGGTGGCCTTACAACATGTTTATAGCCTCTAGTTTGTGGAATTCAATTCTATTAGGGCCTTTCTCTTGTTTGGAAAGTTTAAATTTGCAGATTTCAATTCTACATGTCAAAATTTAAGATTTTTGCACAAAAGTAATCTGCACTTGTTCATTAGTGGATTCGATTTTGGATAATTTGTCATTAAATTGAGGTGTTTGGAATGTAATTGAATATTCAGGTGTTTGGAATGTAATTGAATTCAAGCCGGCTACCAGCATTCCCATATTGTAAATGTCCAAAGAAGGAAGAAGGAAATGCACCATCGACACTGCATTTAGATAAATGACTAGTAAATGAGCAAAAACATAAATCATCTTCTAGAAAAAAGTTAAGCTTCATCACTGTCTGCCATGAAATTCTAGTGCCACAAACAGTTCCTTTTCTTTTCTCTGCAAAAAATTAGTTATCAAATTGAGAGATATAGGAGATACGAAGACATAAAGATAATTCAGCTAGAGAGGATAGATGTAGCTTACAGCTAGAGAAATGGCTGGGGATGGTTTTCTTGTGTGCCTAGTATTGTATTGAACTCTTAGTTTTATAAATATATATAGTTGAATTATATCTTCAAGACAAGTAGGTTTAGCACTGATACAGTGTGATATGCTAAAGTAAAAAAAAAAATGTTTGATCACTTGCTTTTGGAATCAAGCATCAAGGATTCTTCTGACCCCATCATTTCCTTTCCTATTTACAGAGAACTTGATCTTGACTGCAGACCATAAAACAGTTAAACTTGCTGATTTTGGTTTAGCTAGAGAAGAGTCATTAACAGAGATGATGACTGCTGAAACGGGGACATACCGGTGGATGGCTCCAGAGGTACTATATTGGATGATTGAGTATCTCTAGAATTTTTTTTTATATGATGCAGATCATTCACCTTTCTATTTGGTGTCAGCTTTACAGCACAGTCACATTAAGGCACGGTGAGAAGAAACACTATAATCACAAGGTGGATGCTTATAGCTTTGCAATTGTGTTGTGGGAGCTCATTCATAATAAATTGCCATTTGAAGGCATGTCAAATCTACAGGCAGCATATGCAGCTGCTTTTAAGGTGAGCAGTGCTGTTTCCATTCTATCTTGAATTACTTGGATGGTGACAATGTTGATGTCTGGCTGATGGCAGTGCCTCTATTAAAGTGCTGTTGATCTAGATTTTATAATTAGTGCGAACCTGTAAGGCAAAATTTTAGATTTCACAATCAAGAATTGAAAAATTTACCCAAAAAAACTAAAATCAAAATTTAAAACCTCAACCTGATGATTTTTAAAATTTTAATCTTATAAAATTTCAGCCCAATCCAGCTGTTGGATTTAAAGCTATGACCTTTAACATATAGTTGTTTAGCTAAGCTTTAGTACATGTTAAGTAGCTTGATCCCTTGGATCACATTGATTAAGGCATTTTTTTGAACTCAATTTCATGATTGACTTGACCTTAGAAGAAATTCCCAAGCTTTCTCAACCCAAGTGCCTGAATTAGTCCATTGAATGTCCCTTTGATTTTTTTGGCTCATGCCCTAAATGTCCAATTAGCATATGCAATGGATCCTATGGTATTTCTTGTTGATTCTCATTATTTCTCTTTTCTCAAAAGCATTTGACCTTGAATTATCACCCACATCAAAAGAAGAAAGATTATAAATATTAAATGTATCACTAATATAACACTCATATGGAAGTTCCAATTTATATGCTTTGTTTGTAATTCGTTCAAGGACTTTGAATGAATCATTCCCTCTGGATTGCAACTTAAATCGTTTATGGGCTAGAAATCTTTCCTTCCTCATAATCACCTAAACCCAGTCTCTAGGTGAAAAGATAACATGTCTATGATCTTTGTTAGTTTAAGAGTTACTGTTCATTCTTCTTTTCTACGTGCTGCCAAACACTCATGAAGTTTCCTCACCGTATCAGCCTCCTTCTTTCTATCAATATCAATTCTTTCATCAATAGGTAAAGGCAACAAATCCAAGGAGTTAGCGGATTAAAACCATGAACAATTTTAAATGGAGAATAATTTAGTAGAATGCACTTTTATTACATGCAAACTCAATAAATGACACACTCCCAACTTTTCAAATTTTTTTGAATGATGGTACATAATAAAGTAGTTAAAGTCATATCGACCACTTTCATTTGGCTATCTTTTTGTGGATAACAGTTAGTTGAAAATAATAGTTTAGTTTCCAGCTTTACCTACAAAACCTTTTAAAAATATCAAAGGAGCTTAATACCCTGATCTGAAACAGTACTGAAAGGAACACCTTAAAGTCGTATTATCTTCCTAAAGAACAAATAAAAATATTGGTTGCATCATTGGTTTTATGACATTTTATGAAATGTGTCATTTAGAAAACTCATCTACAACTATAAAAATTGAATTTATACCTCTTTTTAAAGTTCATGGAAATATTTACTCAATGTTCCTTTGGTATAGGCAAAGGAGTATATAACCCCATGATACAAGACCTTAGATTTGGCTTGTCTACACGGGATATGTTTTTCACATATTTTTTGTACATCATGTTTCATCTCAAGTTAAACAAATGTTCAGGCAACACATCTAAAGTCGTTTTCACACCAAAATGACCCATCAAATTAACCGCATGATCTTCATGCGCAAGCAGGTGCAAATCATTATCATTGGCATATAAGGCTTTAATATACTTAAATCTCAATAATCTTGCATTTAAAGTAGCGATAAGAATGTACCTTCTAGATAGTGCATCAATCACTATATTTTCTTTACCTTGCATGCATTTAGTGACATAAAAAGGTCTCAATGAACTCTATCCATTTGGCATATCTCACATGCAGTTTACCTTGTCATTAGAAGTGCTTCAATGATTTGTGATGTGTATGGATAATGAACTATTTTGGCTACAAGTAATGGTGCTAAGTCTCTAAAGTCGTAACCAATGTATAAAGCCCATAGTCATAAGCTAGGCAGTTCAACGCTGCTCTGTTTAGCTTTTCACTAAAATAGTAATGATTAGAGATAAATCTTCTTTTCATAACAACTTTTATCTCATCCCAACTCTCAATAGACCTCTCATGATTTCTCCAATTTAACCATATAATTGCATAATCAATAAATTTTATCACAACTAACTTAACCTTTTTCTTCTTAGAATAGTTACAACAATAAAAAATCAACTTTACTTCTCCACTCTAGGTAAGTTTTCGGAAACATTCCTCCTTTGAAAATAGAGAATCTTCATTTTAATACTCTCAAGGTTTCTATCCATACCTTCACAACTTCTAGTATCTCTTCTGAACTTTTTATCACACAAATCATAGTTTGCCAAAACCTCTCCCTATTGTTGAATGATGCTTGATGAGATTTATCTGCATTTTCATCTTCATTCTCAACACCAATCTTATCTATGGGTATGAGAGCACGTCTCTCTTGCTTTCTAGCATCAGAGACCTTTTAGGATTGTCATTCATGCAAATTAGCAATCATAGCATCTTGTTTATCCATTTGATCCCTTGTATCACCAAATACAACATTCACACGCTTAAACTGTTGTTGCAATGCCTATAACACAAAGAACGTGTTTTTCTTCTCATTCTTGGGTGATGATATTGGAAGACATTCAAATCTAAAAAAAAAAAATCAGTTAGTAATAAATCTCACATAGTCCCTTACATGTTTTCACTCAAAGATTTGTCATTACACTCGTGTTTCACTCTTGACTTGTTCTTTTTGGACTTGTCTTTTACCTCTCTTAACTCCCCTTTTCAGATCTTTATTGAACCAAACAAAATCAATCAAAAGAAATATGATCTATAGTTCAAACTACCAAATTCAAAATGATAAAGACAAACACAATATGAAAAGAAATTTAGGAATAACTCAACAAACCTGAATTCAATATGGAATACCCCAACAAACCAATTTCAATATGAACTATCCCAACAAACTGATTTCAGTATGTACTTTTGATTTGTGATTTTACTTTTTCTAAAATTTTTTTTTAATGAGATTGCAAATCAAAAAACAAGAAAATCAAATTCATTAACAAGATGAATATATTATCCTAAATATGCACACAAGATTAATTAAACCCTATATGGTGCGATTTCGATGCAAGGAATAAGCAATAACAAAAACAAGAGCAAAACATAATTTTAAAATAGTGAACTTAATTTTATATTCAAGCTCTAATACTAAATTGATGCGAATCTGGAGGGTCAAATACTAGAACTTACAATCAATAATTGAAATATTTACCTAAAAAGGCTAAAATCAGATTATAAAACTTTTGACTCGTTGATTACTTGAATCAATAATCAAAGATGTATGGTTAGAATGCCACAAAGATGATCTTTCATATAAGTTCAATAAAAAAACCAAAAGCAAGGGTGCTAATGCCAATTTTATTCACTATTAGAAATTTATTTTTTCACAACCAAAAAATAAAAGGTATTTATATGTTTGACTTAAACAAAGATATAAAATAAACCATAATTAACTTTAGGCTGAAAATTAAACACAACTAACTTTTTTGTATGGATAAAATAAAACACAATGATTAAGTCTTGTACAAATAAAAGCTTGTACAAATAAAAGCCTGTACTATTCTCGAATAGTAATTTTGGGATTTATCATAAAGTTTTTCAAATATCTGATTGTTATAAAATTTTAACTCTTTATAAAATAAGGCTTTTAAAACCTTTTAGTGAACTTTTAGTCTATTGCAATAGTCAGATTAAAAGTTAAGAACATTAACATAAAGCTTTGTAGCCAAGCTCTGACACATGTTAAGTAGCTCAATCTCTTGCTTGAATCAATGATCACATTGATGAAGGCTTAATCCTCCTTTGAGCTTAACTTCATGCTTGATGCTACCTTGGAAGGAATCCTTAGAGCTTGCTTGGCCCAAATGTCATAAATCACCCATTTGAATGTCTCTTTGATCTTGGCTCTTACCCTAATAATTAATCCAATCAGCATATGCAATGAATCCTGTGGTATTGTTTGTTGATTCTCAGTAATAACCTTTTATGACGTATTGGAACTACTATTGAGTCTCTGGCCTCAAGGTTGCTTTCTGCAAGATTGGATACCTATTGACTTTAGAAGTGAAGTCTTCTCATTAAAGTGGCTGAGTTGATAAACCATAAATTCCAAACATAGGATATCTGGCCGTGGGGTGGCTGACGGACTGAATGATACAGGTGGTTCAATTATGCTGCTTTGAATGAATCATTGTGCTAGGGGCAGTCATTAAGTTGAACTTCTAACTAGCAAGATTGATGAACGTGTTGGACATCAGTTAAATCTACCTCAACTGATTGCTATCTTTGTCATTGTCAACAATTACTGAGGATTTGAATATAGCACGCTGTTTTTATATGAAATTGCTTCAGCGCTGCGGCATGTGAGATATGCTTTTCCAGTTTTTAGGCAGGCATTTGGACATCAAAACCTGGACCATCTGACATTATTCTTCTTTTATTGCATGATTATAACAATTTAGTGGTATCCAAACTTTGATATGCCATAACTTGAATGATTATCTCATCTTTTACTTAGAATTATAAAGCTCAGTTGCAATTTCCAGCATCTTGAATTATGGTGTTGCTGTTTCAGAATGTGAGACCTAGTGCTGAGAACCTCCCAGAGGATTTGGCGTTGATTGTGACCTCATGTTGGAAAGAAGATCCAAATGCTAGGCCGAACTTCAGCCAAATAATACAGATGCTCCTGCATTATCTTTCTACCATTTCAGCACCGAAACCCGTCATCCCCGATAGGATTTTCACATCTGAGAATGCCGTTTTGCCACCAGAGTCTCCTGGTACAAGTTCCTTAATGGCTGTAAGAGATGTCTTGGGGGAAACCCCAAGAACCCAGATAGAAGACAAGCCGAGAAGTTTCTTTTTCTGCTTTAACCAATGTTACTGATCCCTCCTGATACACAAAAGTCGTCTCTGGAGGTGTTTAGGCACATTACAATAAGCAAGTCTTAAATATTAGAATACGCTTAAATCATTATGAAAATGGTCGATCTACTTAGTTCAGTTGCCATATGAAGTTACTCATCATCTGATTGATGTCTTCATTAACCTTTGCACGCTTCTCCCCATGAATACTAGTTTGTTCTGACAATGTATTTAGGGTTTGGGAGTTGGGGTTGCTGTGATGATTTATCATTTCCGAAATATAAGGTCCGTCCAAAGGCCTTCACTCCTGCTGCATACACCATACATCAAAAGACTAGAGATCTTGACCAAGGGAAACATTATACAAATCCTGAAGCACTCAAAGGGCTACAGGATTAATGTTGGCATCTGCATTACCTGGATAATATAGGACATATCTAACTAAAACACAAAAGCTGACAGATTGTATATCCTATACATGACAAGAAAATGGTACTATTTTTATTTTCAATCAACATAGGGGCGCTTTAACAAGTGAACATAAACTCACACATTAAATTCATTATATTTATAGAACATAACCAACCTTTGAGTTAGAGATACAATAAAAAAAAATTAATGTTTTTTTTTTCTAATGTAGGAGTGTCGAAATAATAAATAATCCGATAAGATTGAGATCAAACCATAAGGAGGTTAATTATATAAATTATAAATAATAATAATAATAATAGAATAAAAGAAGAAGAAGATGATGAAAACTTTGAGATAAAAGATCAATGTGAAAATTAAACAATGATAACAACAAATGTTAAGGTTAGAGGAACCACTAATGATATTTCAAACAAGTATAGTATAAATTTCTTTTATTACTCAATTGAAAACCACACATAAAGGAGGTCACAATCAGATTATAAATTGTTAATATGATTAAATTAGTTATCTTATTAGAATAATGTTAATACTTATAAATGTTGTCAGATACTCATGATTATAACTTATGTTAACAACAAATCAAGTTCGTTTCATATTACAGGTGTAGATTATACCATATGATTAGTTATAAAAGTACCAAGCATTTATTGTACAAAGCATTTGTTGTACCAAGCGTTATACAACACAAATCTTGCCTTAACATGTAAGTTTTAGGCCTATATCTTGGCTTTCTATCCATATAAAGCAGACCTAAATCCAAGTTTTACAGCTCTAGTTATGATCCAATTACTGAACAGTGTTCTAGTTTGGACTAAACCAACATTTTTTTTTCTAAGCTTTACCCTATCTTTATCTTTTCAATTTCAGTACTTCAACTTATCAATCAATTTTTTCATTTATATAATAGGCCTGCATTTAGGATGAATATTTACCATAAATTAAAGTTATCTTATGGTATCAGACTTGTTATTATAAAACATGCTTTAGTTAAGAAGTTATTAATATTTTAAGTACAAAATGATGATATAAAACCTTTATAAAAATACACTTTTAAGTATTAATCAGTTAGCAGGACTATCTACCCATATTCCAGTGAAGGTGGGTGACCTAGGACCTAGAGCAATATAAGACCCTTGAGATTTTCATAACTACAACAAAATATAAATATCAGTCAGTACATAAGTAGTAGATGGATGCTATCAAAAAACAAAGTTGGTATAGCATGGAGCAAAAAAGAAGATTGTAGAGGACACCTCTACTACACCACATACCTTGCGAGAAGCTCCAAGTATAACTGATAACATTTCAAAAGCTTTCAACTCCACAACATTGTCACTTGGACTCCTCTCAACACTGTTGGAGTCCATTCTTGAAAACTACAAGCATAAGGGAATCCATAAATTGTCTGCCAATTGTTGTTGTAAGTTTATGTGCTCCATCTTTATGTGAATCCTTTATTGGAATGCATAATAGATGGAATAGTATTAAATTTATGAATTAGAAAAGTCAAAAACTTGACATTACAATAACTTACCCTTAGTAATTGTTGTATCTAAATGTCTTGACTAGAAATGTTAATAGTAATGTTCTCAAAAGAGCCTACAATTTCTTCAATCCTAACAGAGGGATGCTTAATCCCCTCATCTAAAGGTACCTTACCAAAGTCTAATAAACAAAAAGGTGAGTTAAACTTCCAAAACCAAATCGAATATCTAAGTTTCTTTAGTTCATAAAATTCAAATACATCTATCATAAGAGGTCTTCGAAAATCAATCACGTGTGGCATTGTTAAACGGACTTAAAGTTTACAATGGTTGAGAAAAAAATAGAAAAACCATAAAAAAAAAAATGCAACTTAAAACAATGAGAAAAAGAAGAACCAGATGATTGAAACCAAGCACTGAATTGTAATTGAAAACACTAATCGCAACCACTACCAGGTTAAAGAAAAACTCAAAACACCAATGTCAACACATCTCGAGATCCCTTAAGAAACAACGATGAAAATGAACAACCAGAAGCATAGAGATAACTCATTGCTATATTAAGAGTTGGTTTGTTTTTGCATTTTAAGAGTACCTTTGAAAAAATTTTATTTATTTTTTACTTCAAATTTATTTTTTTGATGTTTCATATTATTTTGATGTATAGATATTAAAAGTGATTTTTTAAAAAATAAAAAAAATATTATTTTGATATATTTCTGAGTAAAAAACACTTTGATAAATAATCACTATTACACTTTCAAACACCTCCTAAATATAAAAGGAAGGGAGGCGCAAAAAATGATAGGCAATCTTTCCAACATGGCAAACAAGAGAAGAAACAGAAAATAATCAAATCAATAAAAAATGGCAACAATCATTTCTCTATACACAGGAAGCAAGTAAAGCATGATTAAGAAGAGAACAAAATGACTTCAAAAGATAAAAGAAAATGAAAGAAGCAAAATTGCTCAACAGAAAAGTAGGAAGCACAACTATGCATGTCAATAGTAAGAAGAAGAAAAACTATACATTGACGAAGAAGATCGATCGCTTAAACGAGGCTGGCTTGAATTTGACAGAGAAGATAATCACCCTGATAAAGATTGGCTTGAATTCATAGTGCAGAAGGGAGAGGGTGAACAATGATCATGTTGTTTCTACATGCACCCGAACTTCTCTAAAACTACACCCTGTTTTTTTTATAGTGAAGGACTAAACAATGAAAGACCATTTTGTTTTAGTTGTTTTATTGATACAAATTAAGCTCTAATTTTATATAGTTCAACTAATGGAAGGACAAATACAAGATAAAAGAAGTCCAAATCTATCTTCCAGCCCGAGCATTGTTCAGTTTTTGGCCCATATCTAGAGTTCTAGAAGTCCAAATGATCTGAATTTTTTATACAAGAAATATAAGACAATTTCCTACAACTTTCATGTTTTCAAATGACTCCAATTTTGACATTATCAATGACGTTTTGGGCAGACAAGAGAAGATAAAGATTGTCACCAAGTCAAGAGTTGGTCATCCACTCATCAATTAGTCATCAAATCAATAGTTTCCATTTTTGGCCTATACAAGGAGGCATTTGCCATGCATTTAGGCATCTTGGTTTCTAGATCAAGATCATGCTCTTGCTTTCTCTCTTTGTATTTTTTGTAATGTTTATGCTTTGCTTTCATTAATATCAAGTTTATGCCTTTCATTTCCTTTCATTTACTTAGTTAATTTTTATCTTTTATTTATGTTCTTATTTTGTTGATTTATTTTTCTTTCTTTCATTATATCTAGCTAAGTTTATTAGTCAAGGTGAAAAGGTTACACTAATGGTGTAAGAATAAGTATAGTGTAAACTTAATATGGATTTTAATGTTTGACACTAATATGTTTTGTATTTGTTATCTTGTTCACTGTTTAATACTTTGCTTGTTAAATGACTAATCTTGATTTATGTTGTATAACACTTGGTACAACAAATCCTTGGCACTTTCATAGCCCATAATGTATGGTATAACCGACACCTGAGCTATGAAAAGAACTTGATTTGTTGTTAACATAAGTTATAATCATGAATGCTTGACGAGATTTACAAGTATTAGCATTAATTGAATAAGATGACTAATGTAATCATGTTAACAATATATAATATGATTGGAACCTCCTTTGTGTGTGGTTTCCAATTCAATAATAAGAGTTTCATGTTGACAATCTATAATCTGATTGGAACCTCCTTTGTGTGTGGTTTCCAATTGAATAATAAGAGTTTATACTATACTTGTTTGACATACCATTAGTGGAACCTCTAACCTTGACATTTGTTATTATCATTGTTTAATCGTTACATTAATATTCCATCTTAAAGTTCTCATTTTCTTCTTCTTCTTCTCCTTCTTTTTCTTTATTATTATTATTATCATTGTTATTATTATTGTTATTACTAATATTATTGTTGTTGTTGTTATTATTATTGGTGTCGTATTATTGTTATTTATAATTTGTACAATTAACCTCTCTATGGTTCGACCCCGGTCTTGCCGGGTTATTTAATACTTCGACACTCCTACACTTGGAAGAAAACATCAATCTTTTAGTCGTGTCAATAACAACGAGTAAACATAAGATTAATACATGTGGTTACTTCAAGGATTGTACCTAAGAAAATTGATAGCTAAGAAAATGAAATATTAATTATTGATTAGGGAATCAAAAATTCAGAAAATGAGTTGCTACGTGGTGACGTATAGTCAACAATCTTAGATTTGATTATATTATATAATTCATCATAAATGCAATACCAAAAGTGACAAATATGAACTTAGATGTTATAGCAACTAGTGTGTAATTCAATATATAATTGATATAATTGATGCTAAAATTTTTTCTAGATAAACATATTGTTCTCCTTCTTATTAAAAACCATGTATAAGTATTTTATGGCTAGATGTTGAAGTTGTAATACTATTTTAGTTACAATGATGTGCACAAGTATTGTCATATGAGTTAAGATATTATTAAACTTGAGTTGAATGTTTCAAACAAGATTGTTAAAAATGCTAATAGACATAATTATTCATTTTTCTCATAAAAAATAATGAGCATAAGTCTTCTTAATGACTAATCACTCTTACAATACTATACATATTGTAGGTCTATGTCACGAAGTGGGCTAGCACTAATTGCGTTGTTTCACTATTTATAATTTTATTCGGTACTTATTTTTATGTATTATGAATACTTAAAATTGTGTTAATAACTTCACCCTGAAATGTACTAAATGGTATGATTGTATTTATAGTATTTGATTATTGCATCTATTTTCTTATGTGTGTGTATGTGTGTGTGTATCCATCACCCGTGTGTTTTAAGTAAATTAAAATTGAAAAGAATATAAGATGAACTGTAAGAAGAAATGTGAATGAATCAAATAGAAAAAACAACTAAATTAGTGTGTGACCAAAGGTTACTGCGTGTATATAATTGAGTTATTTGATATTATGTTACCCGAGAGGATAAGAAAAGAACTAAGAAAATGTATAAGTTATAGGGAGAATGCTGCTTTAAATTTGATAAACCAAAGAATCAATAATGGTATGTATTGTTAGACATATTGCTAACAAAAAAAACCATTATACTTATACATAATGATTAGAAATATGAAAATTACATGAAAATTTCAGGTTGTTAAATAGAAAGCATGCTAGAAGATTCTAGGACCATTAGAAACAGTGAAGATGCATGGATCTCACACGCCTCCACCACTGGTAGCGCATGCAGGTGATGCTGTGGTGTCTTAGGAGGTGCATGATGGTGTGAAATGGGCAACTCTTCCTTCCCTCTTCACTTCTATGTTGACAGTGTAACAGAGGGAAACTTGTAAAAACAAGAAACAAAAACAATAAAATTCGGTTCTTTTTCTTTCTTTTTTCTTTTTTATATTTGCATATCTCTCACTATTTTTCTTCAAATGGTCATTGTCATTACTACCACAGTTGGGGCATAGTGCATGGGGAGGGCCAGTTCAGCGGTTGTTAATAGGTGATTACTTCACCACTGGAAGCAGAGAAAAAGTCATTGGTGATGATATTCACAGCAACAATGTTATTGGAATTGGTATTGTTGGATATCTTAATGGTGAAGGTTGCTATGATGTTGAGGAGCTCCTGTCTGCTGGTGAAGGAATGTGGTCGATGGTGATGGTGGGTCAATTTGTGGTGGCTTCAAATGGATAGATGAGAGAACATCGTGAGGTAGAGGTTTGCATGGTGGGAGGCTACTCACAATGGTTATAAGTTGAGTTAAGAGGATAAAGCTCGGCACTCTTAAGAAAAGGTGTTAGCTTCTAGGTTTGGTCTCCTCACAATAACAAATGAGGGGCTGTAAAGAGAACAATCTCCAATTATTGAGTTTTAAAACATGTTATGAATCCTTATTGATGTTCATGTGCTGATCCACGTAATTTTGGTTACAGTTTTTTCTCTCTAGAAGGTGAATATTCAGCAGATGATGCTTGTGAATTCAAAGAACTGGAAGAGAGCATAACTAAAAATTATTTCTAATTGCTGATTGCAATCCGTCGCGCCATTCTGGAGCAACAGTGTGATCAGGAGGGGAGACATAATTTTTCAAAAGGTTCCCATTAATGGCAAATGCAATACCAGTCATGGCTGGCTGCTCTGTTTTTAAGGGGTGGAAGATATCATAACTAACTGTGATACCAAAGCTATGGTCAGTTCATCAGCATTTGTAAACGACCTGCAAGAAGCAATGAGTTGTTTTTAACTGCCCATTGCAGTTTATTTCGGCCTCCCAAAAAATTTTGGAGCCGCAATTCAGGGCCTGTTTGAATTCGATGCTGGAACCTGATACAAAGAGCAAATAAACGACATGGAAAATGCTTTAGTTGAAAAACTGGCTTCAAGTGACTTGCGAATTATCGTGGTAATCAAAACTTGATTTAGCGAAAGGTATTTGTGGAGCATTAAATGAAGTCAAATCATGTGATCGCTACAAAAGAATGAATCCCTCTCATCCATCTGCAGAAATAAAACGAGTCACAAGAATATATTTGGAAATTGGCCCATAAAAGTAACAGCAGTCTGTCAGGAAAAAAAATAATATTAACTATCACAGTCAAAATTGAATGAACATGCACCTATATATATTGGACATGGTAATTTATAAAATGTTTCTTGGGCTGTTATTGTCCCCACCCTTAACGAGCTGTTCAATTGGGAGGATCCATTTCCATTGCCTTATAATAGACTTTTTCTGCATTGGTCATTCTATCTTGGAACATTGTCCATTCTTTCCGACACCTCTCTCTCACCTGAAAAGGAAAATCCGAGCTTAATTAATAATGCTCTTCTTGTTTTTAAAGGTGATAATGCAACTTCACAGAAAATTATGCAAGGTCAAGGTTCAGTTCCTTGTAGCTAGTCCAGAAACAAGGAGGGCGATGATGTTCGCAGTTGATTTTGATAATAGAGATTAGAGAGAACAAATTAATAGCATACCCCTTCCCACGGTGCCTTTCCTTTCTGTGCTTGCCCCTGTGAAATTAACCATGAAAAATAAATGGCGAAGAAAATATATTCCACAATCAACTAGTTCATATTGAATATTGACTTGAAGATACCTGGCTCCCGAGTGAAGGAACGCCTTGGTGAATGATCCACTGAGCATCCACAACTCCTATTTTCTCATGAGCAGGCTAATTCCCAGTAAAGTCAAGTAAGTATAACTTGTAGCAGGAAAGTGTTAGTTCAGGCGCAAGTAAGAAAATGGTTACTGACCTCAACACATTTCCTCAGAGCAAAATCTAGACCCCAACCATGAACCAAGTCATTCTACAATAGAACAAATTTCAGATTTCACATATTAAAGTTAAAGGAGTGGCATTGGCAGGAAATTTAAGTTCACTTGTTTTACCTGAATCATGTGCCAAACACAACGCCATGCATCTCGAGAAAATACAGTCGCCATGATCTCAACAAATCTGTTCATAAAGTATTTTAATGTAAGATACACTGAAACCCAATACAAAATGTATCATCTTCAGGGTGATTAGAAAAAGGAAGCCCAATCATTACAGTAACAGAGTAAATTGGAAATGGATTTAATCATGTTTGCATACGCTGCACATGGAGGCAAATGTGGATCTGTACACCACCCAGGCCTCTCTTCAGTGTCCCTGAAGAAAGGGAAAAGGAACTCAATATCATCCAGACACTAGCACTGAGATTCGTTTCATAAGAAAAAGTGAAGGCACATTAGGAAATTCTACTATTCTTACTTGTGCACTTCAATGCCATCTCTTCTCTTTGTCATTGCCCATGTTGTTCCTCTATCTGGATCTAAACCAGGCTGTGAAATCTCCAAACCATGTTTCCTTACCAGTTTAATGTATCTGAAACAGATTGGATTTAAACTTCATATTCCAATTTATGAAAACATGCATCTCTATTCAAATGGAAATTGAACTTCCAGTACATACTTCTCTGCATCAAAATGTTCCACCCCAAGGTCCTCATCCCAGAGAAAAATATAATCATAGGGAGCAACAATGTCAGGATGAAGAAAACGTTTGGCATACCACCTGGACCAAATTTCAAGGAGTATTTTTAGTAAATGCAGCTTAAAGTGTTTAGTAGAATTAACTACAAGTTAAGAAAAGGTAGAATTTCTAACCACTTCGTTTGTTTGCGAGCACTGATGTGAACAGTTCGCTTTGACCACTCAAACTCATCCCATTCAGTTGTCCGTCCATCATAGTGAAACAACACAATAGTGAAGTTCTCGGAGAACTGAGAAAATATATATAAATAAATATATCTTGAGAAAGGGAACACGAGAAAAAGGTGACTGAGAGAGAAAGAGAGAACCTTTTTAACTGCCGCATCAATATTTTTTTTCTGATCATAGCCAACAGTAAAGGTTACAAGATATCTAGGTTCGATGGTAAGGTCCTGCAGACACGATGTCCATAAATCAAAGATATGGATTAGAGAAGAAAATGATGAGTCGACAGTCAAGAAAACTCAAAAGATCCTTAATCATATAAATGGAGCGCAGCACAAAAGAAAAGATTTTAAATCATTTTGAAGAGTCAGTTTGTTATGATGTATTATCCAGTTTTCAATTTTAGATGTAATTGCAACCATTTGATGCAAATCATCTTCAAATGATCTTTTTATCCTACACTGTTCATGTTTTTAGATCAAGCTACTAGTGAATGCAAATGCATGAAAGTAACGACTTGCAAACCATAATAAGATGATTCATATGGGATATTTAAACACCTCACTAGGCAGACCCCAAAGTCGGCGGAGGTAGAAATCTGATTCAGAAGCAACTATACCAGGGGGTAGTCTTTCAGCACCTCGAGGATTTGTTGGAACCCAGATCTGCATCAGAAACACAATGGTAAGAAATTGTGCCCGCAGAGAATCCATGTTGATACATTTTTTTATTGAAAATTCATCATCATTAGTTACAGATAATTGCAAGTCAAAGGTAATTAGTTTCTTGAGGTAAAACATAAGAAATCAAATAACATAAGGTAATTGACCTTGGTCCTTTATCACACTTATCGAAGCAAAAGAAATCATATTCTGAAACAGGCAAAAGGTAACTGCAATAGGTATCAGTATTCCACAATTCTCATGTTGGTGTCACTCTAATTCCAAAAGAGCAAGCTTCCATCTTTCCCTCAAATGTCGTGAACCATAAATCATTTTTAGCACTTCAAACCTAGTCATTTTTTGGTCTATCTACCCTCTGTTCTCTCCAATTGTTTGAATCCAGTCACTATGCCGCATAGCTGCATCCATAAATCTACATTCTATATGCCAGTCTTTTCAGACAATCTTCCTCATACTTATCCTCAAAGGGCACCACCTCAATTTTTACTTAGAATGAACTCATATCTCCTTATTCTTTCATATATTTTCACACAGTTATCCCCACAATCAGATATCATCTACACTCATGACCAAGCTGCATACTAACCTACCAGCATCAGCACAAGTAGGATAATAGCTATACTAAGACAAGGCTATTAGAGTTGAGAATCACAGTTTCATACTAAAGAGGAGCTAATGCCTTCAGGTGTTCAGGTTCACCATTGCAGCACAAACTCTGGGCCCATTCACAAATAGTATCAGGTTTATATTTTGCTTAAATGCACAACCAGCACTTAACCAATTTTTACACATCAGGATTAGCTTAAATAGACTATATACCTCAGTCTTGTTGTATCTGGGAAGTAAAGGAGAGGCCTCTTTGTTACCCTTTAGAGAAGCCCAAGCATTGAACAGTGCTTGCTTTGAAAGACCAGAGTATTTGTCCTCAATATATGTAAGATCAATGGAAGGAAACAAACTGGATGGGAGATTCATCTGCCAATCATTAAACATAGAAACATGAGTTTTCTTCTCGCATTAAACAACAGCAAAACCAAATGAAAAAGAAACATAACTATAAAGTAGAGATTGAAAAGGTTAAAAATATATATACCTTAGATAAGGACAGCGTTGGAAAGGATATTCCTAAAAAGAACCCAAAAATTATTCCAATAAAAGTTGTCATGAAAAGCCTCATCATCTCACTAGGTTTTTTGGGAGTTCCGCTGCAGCTCAATAGAGGTCAAAGTCACAAATATAGGCATTGTTGTTAAAACTAATCCAGTTGTAAGTTAAGGTGGAAAATAGACCTGTGGCTGAAAAGAAATAACACAGTGTTTCTTTACCTCCGAATGGGAACTGGCATTATGGTAGAGATTTTCTAAGTACAGAATCACAAATATACAAGTTGAAATCCAGCAACAAATAGCTTCTTGACACACTCATCAAGTCCGGTTCTCAGTGCTTGAAAAAGAAATGAACTTCCTCGCGGCAAGAAAAGCTGACGAGCATCCTAGTACATCAGTCAAATTTGGAAGACCCACCGAAAAAGAAAAAGCAGTACCAAAACTGGACAATATCATATCTCAGTGACAGTTTAAATAAAGGACATAAGATAACAGCCTCATCAAGCCAATGCATTCCCAGGATGTACTAAATCAGTAGTATTGCAGTACCATAATGTGCCATAGATTCATCATTGATATGTAATAATACCAAACAAAATACTCACATAGCGCATAGAAAAACTTTTAAAAATTGCTATATGAGTGTGAATACGCAATGCAATCAACGCAATACAACCTCACGAAGATGGGCCGTTACTTCTCTTCCGAGTGTAAATCACTTCAATATACAATCGAAAACGATGAAATTTGCCAATATTCTTCAAGAACGCATCTATTCATCTACTCCAAACCCAAAAAAATCTCAACCGATCTTAAACCTCAAGCCAAATTGAAAACTCCCCAATTCACCCGAGAGAGAGAGAGAGATAGAGAAAAACTATACTCCTTGCATCTAACAGAACATAACATGATAGACTTGATCAGCTCGAGATTACCTTACAAGCAAAAATGAAATTAACACATGTAGAATAAATTAAAAAAAAAGGGGGTAGTGGTGGTGGAGAAATCTACCTGGGTATTCCTTGATTTGGAGGGAAAGATCGGATTATAAATCTAGAGAATTTATTTTATTTTTATCCTTTTCAGAAACCAAACACGATCAGGTCTGCTTTTGCAGACAAGTAGGAAGTTAGTTTTCTTCGAGAGAGATATTTTAATTTAATCATCATAACGGAAACAAAACGCAGAGAATTGAGAATTTATAGTATGCTGGGTTACCTACTAAATTCCCCTCCTTCGTCAACTTATATATTGCTAATGAGTCAACGCGGTGGGTACCTATTATTTATGGTATCTAAAGCTCCTCCTTCACGATCTAGCATTCGGTCTTTCTTCCTTGCCCACAACTTTTTTGCCTTGCAGATTTATCAATGCCTATAGTTTCGATTTCTTTTCATTTTTACCCTCGAGATTTTCAATTTTTCCATTTTATACTAAATAACGAAAATTTCCAGAATAAGAAAACTAAATAAGTGAAAAACAATTTCTTTCCATTCAAAACAAAATCATAGAAAACTGATTTTTCATTCTTTCTCCTATTTTTTCATCTCATACAAGAGATTTTTTATATATATAAAATTCAGAGAATAATAAGTTGTTAGGAGCATTGAAACTTAATAAAAAATATAAGGATAATGGTCGAAACTCCTAAAATATAATGATGGAGGTTGAACATGAAAGAATTTATAGTGGTAAAAATATAGTTTACCCTTTTCTTTATAATATTTTTTCATAGTACGTAGGTGAGAAATCTTATCTTATTGATATTACTTGGTTGTTATAATTTGGGAAAATTATTTTCGATTTAATTTGATTTTTACTTATAAAATTAATCAAATTAAAATTTTATAAAATATAAAAAATGAAACCAAAACTAGTTCAAATTGACCGATTTCTCTTCAGTTTGGTTCAATTATTTTATATTAACCAATTTCCTCCAAATTCTAGTATACATGCCCATAGCAGATCTTTCAAGACTTGGATGACTCTTTCCAATTGGCTATCGGTTTGGGGGTGAAATGTAGTGTTCATATTCATTCCTATCCCCTGGATGTGTTGTATGCTAGGCCAAAGTTAAGAGGTAAACCTGGGATCCTGACACGACCAAATGATTGATATCTTCTTCCAAGTGTAGGAGTGTTGAAGTAATAAATAATTTGGTAACACCGGGGTCGAATCATAGGGAGGTTAACTATATAAATTATAAACAACAACTATTATAATGATAATAATAATAATAATAAGTTAAAGAGGACTTAGAGATTGTAAGATTAATTTGATGATTAAACAATAATAAAAACAAATGTCAAAGTTAAAGGATTCACTAATAGTATTTCAAACAATTATAGTATAAACTCTTTTTATTACTCAATTAAAAATCATACATAAAGGAGGTTCCAATCGGATGATTTGTCATTAATAGCTCATTATAAATTGTTAACATGATCATATTAATTATCTTATTTAAGTAATACCAAACTTTAAATATGGTTAGGAATTCATGATACTAACTTATGTTAACAACAAATCAAGTTCCTTTCATAGCACAAGTGTAAGTTATACTATACAGTTGGACTATGAAAGTGTCAAGTATTTGTTGTACCAAGTGTTATACAATATAAATCTAGGTTAGCCATTTAACAAGCAAGGTATTAAGAATTAATAAGATAAAAATGATAAAATATGTTAATAGCAAGTTGTTTAGGATATATGCATTGAAGTCCATATTGAGTTTATATTATACGTATTCTTATATTATTAGTGTAACCTTTTCATCTTGATATAATAAACTTAACTAAATATAATAAAAAAGAGAAACATAAATCAACAAGATAAGAATATAAATAATATATAAGTTAATTAAGTAAAGGAAAGGAAATGAAAGGCAAAAGCAAGAAATTAATGAAAGCAAAACTTAAGTATTACAAAAGTATAAGGAAAAAAAAGCAAGAACATGATCTTGATCTGAAAACCAAGATGCCTAAATTCATGGCAAATGCCTCATTTTATAGACCAAAATTAAAAACTATTGATTTGTAAGTTAATTGTTGAGCGGATGACCACATCTTGACTTGATAACAATCCTTATCTTCTTGTCTAAATAAAATGTCATTGCTAACATCACAATTTGATATACTTGATCATGAAAGTTCTAGGAAATTACCTCAGCTTTCTAACAATAAAAAATTAAGATCATTTGGACTTCTAAAACTCAAAATATGCGCTAAATACTGAACAGTGTTGGGGCTGCAAAACAGATTCTAACTTTTCCATTGTTGTTAAGATTTAGACTTACAAATAGCATAATTGAGTCTTGTATTCTCATGAATATTTTAGGCCTATATATTAACTTTCTAGCCATATAAACCAAATTAAAATCCAAGATCTACAACTCTAGATATGATCCAAAGACTGAACAGTGTTCCAATTTGTATTGAACCCGTATCTCTTTTTTAAGCTTAACCCTCTCTTTGTCTTCTTAATTTTAGTATTTAAACTCATCAATTAATTCTTTTATTTATGTGAGAGGTCTGTATTTAAGATGAATGCTTGACCACTTTTTATGATCGGCTTGTTTTAACTCGCAAGTGCACGAGTGTGCGATGTAGCAATTAACTCGGTAAGATCGAGGTCATATCCACAGAGAGCTAGATCTGGAAATTAAGCTAGGTAACAAGAAAAAACTCAAGAGAAATTAAATTAACAATAACTTGGTTGAAAATAATTGATGGATTTGTTTTCAAAGATGAAAAAGTGTAAATAGATTTTAAATGACAAGAAAAAGTAAGTCTTGGTCCAAATCAATTTTAATGGTGATGTATTGGTGATTTCTTCAACATATATAATATAACTCAACCTAATATCAACGATAGTGATATTAGATCGAAAGATATTACAATGAAGTTTAGAAAGATGAAGATTGATTATTGCTTAAAAATGAACAAGTACTTTCATATTAAGTAAGACATTGAATCAAGCAATCTCTATACCAAAACTAAAATTTATGCATAAAAATTCAAGATTATAACATTACCTAAATGATTTCTAAAATTTCTTTACAATAATAAATCATTCATGAAGAAAATAAGAAGATAAACATTAAGATTCATTCATATCCTAAAGAACTCACCTCAATCACCATTATCCTTGATTTGGATCCAAGAAAGAGTTTAGCCAACCATGATTATATATAAGAACACTTCAATAAACATGAAAGAACTTGAATCCAACTGAAATAATAAGTTTTACAAACTAAAGAACCGAAATCTATAAAGAAGAACACAACACAATTTCAGAAAAAATTCGGATACAAATCTGACTCTAACTTTGGACAACAATTTGACCCTCTTAGAAGCCTCCTCTCTAGATGTCTATTAGAGACATATTTATAGGAAATTCTGTCACCTTTCCAGATCATTAAAGAACAGCTCATTTGGACACTTGAATCAAAAGTTATGGGCAAAACACCGAAAGGTATTCTGAAAAATCAAATCAGGACAGCTTTGCAACCACTTTGGTGCACGTTTTTCTTCCTCATTTATGAGCTATCTCTTTCTTCTTTTTGACCCAAAATAATGTAAAAATGTCCCCTCCAGCTTTCCATCCATGTGCTTGCCTTCTTGGATCAATGGATTACCCAAAATAAATCAATTGTTGTTGTGTGGACATGTAAGATCATGAATTGTGTTTGGGCTGATTTGAAGGTTGATTTGGGGCTGATTTGGGGCTGAATTTAAGCATCAAATAAGTATACAAATATACCTATTATTTGGTCTAAGATTGACATTGAAACCTTGAGTGTTTAATGGTTGAAGTTTGCACACAACATAAGGCAAGTTTGGGCTTGAAATAAATCATATGGTATTCTTTTCTAGAATTGGAATAGAATTGATTTTTGGGACAATTTGGAGCACTTATTTGAACCAAGATTTGCTTCAATCTTCAACTAAATGTCTCTTCAATTCTTTGTTCTGAATTTCGACGTTGAATTTCCTAAATTAATTCATTTAAGCTCCAAAAACCTATCGAAACATTAAAACAAATTTCATTACTAAAAAACACATCAATTATTATAAAAAAACCAAATAAAAACAATAAATACATATGTAAAATAAGAGACTTAAAGACACTTTTGATGCACAATCACACCCCCCAACTTAGATTTTGCTAGTTCTCAAGCAAAACAAAACATAAAACCTTTGAAATAAAAAGAATAATAACAATCATAATTAGGTTCGATTCATCACACTTGAAGGACCTATCATGCAAACATTGGTATCTTTAACTTAGTGTACACAATAGCAAATAAAGAAAAATAAGCATACTCACATTCTCTAAATCAAACTTCCATACAAAATTTCCAAATTCAGTCATATTTATCATGCAACCAACATAATTGATTCATATGAAAACTTAACTTGTAATCTTCCCTTCTCACCAACACAAACAAGGTAGCAAACTAGAGAAATATCTTTTTTTTTTCTTTCTTTGTTTTTTTTTTGAAGATATGATTTATTATTTGTCTTTAAGTAGTAGTCACTTCCCTTTTGACGCGAATACAAACATTTGTGATGAATGCACCCAATTACTCACAAAGTCACAAACTTAAAGTGCTTTGCATACTCATATTTTAAGCTGCCGTTTGACGTAAAGATAAACATTTGTGATGAATACCCCTAGTTACTGAGCAACTCAAAACATTGGAGTAGATAGAACTTTGTACACATTTATTTATTTATTTGTTTAGTAATTATTACTCTATTTACTTAAACCTTGTTTAGGACTGGATCAAAAAGGATAATCACAAGTAAAGCATCATACTCATCTTTCATGCATAATCACACAACTCACACAACTTTTACAAGGAAAGATGCACTTCAGTAATCTTAAAAAAAAGTATGCTATATCTTACTTTATAAGATATTATCTATCCCAAATTAAAGCATGCAATGTTCAACATAATAATGAATCCAAAAATGTAATGATGATCCTAAACAAGTCTCATTCACATACGAATGCAATTTTTTTTTTTTTTTAACAAGCATGGTTATCTCAAGCATTCAACATAATGAAATATCTAAAATTAAGTTTTACATTATCCTCAATGTAAAAGAGAAAGAGAAGAAAAGTATAAAGATTAGAAAATTGTTACTCCCCTTCTGTTTTCAAGGATGAATGTCTGATTGAATTGGGCATGAGCTGACTTCTTGCTT